ACCACAACTTTTTCATCCATTTCCCCAGTTGATTGACATCCCCTCAAATTTTTTTGTCACCACAAAAAGAGCTATTATAAATATTTTTGTACTTATGAATCCTTTCCCCTTTTTCTTGATCTCTTTGGGATACAGACTCAGTAGTGGTATTACTGGGTCAAAAGGCATGTGCAGTTTTATAGCCCTTTGGATACAATTCCAAATTGTTCTCTAGAATGGTTGGGCCTGTTCACAACTCCACCAACAGTACATTGGGTCACCTATTTTTCCACATTCCTTTCAGCATTTATGATTTTCCTATTCTGTCACGTTAGCCAATCTGATGGGTATGAGATGATACCTCAGAGTTGTTTTAATTTGCATTTTTCTAATCAACAGTGATTTAGAGCATGTTTTCACGTGATTATTGATAGCTTTGATTTTTTCTTCTGAAAATTGCATGTTCATAGCCTTTGACCATTTATCAATTGGGTAATGGCTCTAATTCTTATAAATTTGGTTCAGTTCCCCATATATTTGAGAAATGAGACCTTTATTAGAGAAACTTTCTGTAAAATATTCCTGTTTCCTGCTTTCTTTCTAATTTTGGCTGCACTGGTTTTGTTTGTACAAAAACTTTTAAATTTAACATTGATTACCCATCTACCTGTGGGAGGCAGTGCATTGTTGTGGAAAATTCCCTGATCTTGGAGTCAGGAGGCATGAGTTCCATTAACAGATTTGTCTCAGACTCATTGCTTGACCTTTGTACAAGTCATTTTGCCTCTTTAGGGCATGGGTTAGTTATCTCCAGAGGTGAGTCAGTTCAATTTAACAGACATTCATTAACCATCCACTGTGCTGTGCTAGATGCTAGAGATACAAAGAACAAAACAAAATAGTCCTTGCCCTCAAGGAGCTTCTGGTCCCCCATAGATCATGGAGGGGCTGCAACATGCATGCTGATAAGCAAATGTAAGGTAATTTCAGGAGGGAGAACACTGGAGGAGATCAGGGACGGCTTCTAGATGTGGCTCCTAACCTAAGTCTGGAGGGAACGTAAAGATTCTGAAAATCTGAGATGAAGAAGGAGGATGGTTTGGCCATGGAAGATAAATTGTGCCAAAGCACAAGGATAAGAGATGGAATATTGATTTCAGGGAGCAGCTAGTAGATATATTTGATTAGAAAATAGACTTTGTAAAGGAGAGAAATGTGAAACACTGGAAAGGTAGCTTAGAACCAGTTCGTGGAGTATTTCAAATACCAGGATGAGGAGTAATATTATTGTAATTTAAGATAGTAAATGACATAGGGATAATATACTCTACCATCCAGCAATTTTGTTTTTGTTTGTTTTTTCAGAAAATGACATTCAGATCTGTGATTTAGAAAGATAATTTGATTTTCTGTGTGGAAGTAGAGTGTCCAAATGAAGAAGCTATCATAACAGTGATGAAGGCTTGAACTAAGATAGTAGCTGCCTGGGGTTCAGAGAAGGGACAGGTATGAGAGAGATTGTGGGGATGGAATCATCCGTAAGACTTGTGAGTGGATTGGTATTGGGGGAAGGGAAGGGAGAAGCAGGAGTCAAGGAAAACTTCAGGGTCACAAACCTGAGTGATAGGGAAGAAGCCCTCAGTGGAAATAACGAGGTTAGAGTGGGTTTAGGAGGAAGAATGAATTCCATTTTTGACACCTTGAGTTTGAGATGCTAACTATATATGAGAAAGATGTCAAGTAGGCAGTTGGTGCTAGGGGTCAGGAATTCAGGAGAGATTGGGATTGGATATATAAATTTGTGAGTTACCTAATTCAACCCATAAGAGCGGTTGAAGGCAGCAAGGGAAGAGAGTAGGTAGAAAAAGAAGAGAAGATGGCCCTGGTCTGAGCCCTAGGGGAGATCTGCTCTTGGCGGAGAGGGACAGGATATGGACAACGATCCTACAAGGGAGACTAGGAAGAGCTGTCAGACAGGTAGGAGGAAAATAGGGCAAGAAGAGTGTTACAGAAGCTACAAGAAGAGTGGATATGTAGGAGGATGGGGTAGCAACAATATCTAATACTACATAAAGGTGATCAAGAGAAGGAAGTTAAGAGACACTTGGTGGCTTCAAAGAAAGCAATTGCAGCAGCATGGTGGAGTTGAAAGCCAGATTGCGAGAAGTTGAAAAGTAAGTTGATGGTAAGAAAGTGGAGGCGGCTGGTGTTGACAACTTTTTCCAGGAGTTTATCAGAGAAAGGGAGGGGGAGATATAGGACAACAGCTTGAGGAGACGGTGGGTTAAAGGATGAGGATACACGATAGTGTCTAGTGGTATCGATCTCCCCCAGTAGGGATACATACTAGGGAAGAGGCCAGTAGGTAGAGAGAGACCGAAGTTTAAGAGAAGGAATGATTGCTGGGGGCAAGGAGATGGAAGGGGATGGGATCCAGGGCACAAGTCCAGGGGTTAGCTTTGGGGCTACCTTTTACTTAGAAACTTGATTGAGTAGTAGAGTTTTAGATGGGGAGTAGGGTGTATAATCAAGCTTATGTTGAGGGCTTCCCTCCCCCTCCTATAAAGTAGAAGGTAAGGTTCTCTGTTAAAAGGGAGGAATAGATTGGTGTTGGGGGTTTGAGGAGGGAAGAGAAACAGTCTGATTAGATTGACTCCCTTTCTGGTGTTTTAGGGCTCAGGAGAGCTGGTAAGGTCACACTAACCAGGGAGGCTAGCGATGACTTTTCTTTCAAAGAAAGCCGAGTTTCTATGAGTACAAGAAGATGAATAGAGGACAAGAAGAAGAGATCTGAGATGAAGGGGAATTTGGAAATGACAGAACTAAAGTGCCTGAGGGCACAATGAAAGGTGAGGGGAAAGGATAGGGACTGGGTAGGCCTAGGTCTGAGCCGGACAGGGATGAGAATCTGGGGAAAGGTGGCAGCAGATGGAGACTTTGAACCATATGAATTTAGGGGAGCAGGAGGAGACATTTTGCTAGCTCAAGAACAGGAGACATACCTATCAAGTGGGGCACTTCACTGAATAGAGTCAATTTAATTCAACAAACATTTATGAGGTACCTGCTATGGAGCAGACCCTGGGGTGAGTCCTGGGGATAGGCCAAAGACAAAATAAAAATAGTCGTTACTCTCAAGGAGAGTATGTGCCACTGGAATTACTACATACTTGTATAACATCCCTTTTAAGTTTTCAGAGCAACTGCATATCATATCCTTTAATCCTCATAATAAACTGATCAAGACAGATATTATGCCCATTTTACAGATGTAGAAACTGAATCACAAAGTGATTGGGTTGTTTGCCTATGATCCCAGAGCACCTTACTCTTTTGTCTCTCTCTACCACAGTGCTGCAGGGGGCCAAGCGCTAGAGCCCAGAGAAGGGTATGATAGCCTCTGGTCCTGGCTTTTTTCTTCCATCACAATCCTGGTGATGGGCTGGGGTTCAGGCTGGGATTGTGGTGTTGGTTCCAGGAGTAGTGACATCGCCTCTCTTCTGAGGCGCAGTGGCTCCCACCTTGTAGCTGGTCCTTTGGCGGCGAAGGAGGGCTGAAAGTGCCGACTTTGCCAATGTTAATGGCAGACTGGCAGCTCACAGTGATGGGGGAAGAGTAGGTGCCATCTGAGAAAATGGCAGCTGTCAGGGCCATGTGCTGAGCAGGTCTCTAATCCCAATCCCCCCCCCCCCTCCTAAGAGCATAGAGCTAGTCCTGGGGTGAGTGTTTCATCCTTGTTAGCAGCAGCACGACTTCTCTCCAAACACAGAAGAACTGGGTTGGGGAGTCTGGGCTGAGCTTCTAGATCATTAAAATACCTGGTGGTCATGTCCCTGGGGCTTGAACCCAGTTCACATGCCAGTTCCATACCCTATTCCTATAATGGCAGAGTAGAGGGTTTATTCAGACGTTATTGCTCTGGGCCAGGCAGCTCTAGGCCAGGCAGACACAGGCAGCATCGATTAGCTCTACTCTATACACAATCCAGTGACTGGGTAATTGTTAAATTCCCTTGCAGTTCTAACGTGTGATGCTTTTCTATCGGCATGATAGAGAACTCGCCCACCTCAACAAACTTTATTCTAGACTGGGTTTCAATTGCTTTCTAGCATAACTTGTCCTACCTCTAGGAGCAGGGAAAAGGAGATGTTACAAGGATAATCTGGGCCTTGCCCAGCACAGATTTGTAGGTAGATCTGAATGCACCACTCCAAATCCCAAGGAGACTAGAATTCCATCTTTGTGAGGAGTACAAGAATAACTGGGCTTGGGTGATCACTACCTTGATTGCTTCTTTTCTTTTTTCTTTTTTTTTTATTTTTAGGCAACTGGGCTTAAGTGACTTGCCCAGGGTTAGACAGCTAGTAAATGTCAAGTATTTGGTCTGGGGCTGGATTTGAACTTAGGTCCTCCTGACTTTGGGGCCAGTGCTCCACCCACTGCACCACCTAGCTGTGTCTCTGATTGCTTATTTTCAAGGGGGACATTGGGTTTGGCATTCTATCTATTATGATCAGATATTTGTACTCTAGGGATACAATTCTTTTTTGGGAGGGTCAAGATAAAAATAATTTTCCCTGGTTGCTTGGGGGGAGGGGAACAGGTACAATAATTCCACTCCTGATCTAGAAAATATTAGTGACTTGGTTTCCCCTCCTCACCAAACAAAAGACAATCATAGATAGTAAGCAAACATACTAATCAAAGAAAGAAAGTAAATCCATAATTGGAGAAACTGTACGGATTTGTTTAGGTGGTAGATTATGCAAGGATAAAGGAAGTCTTGTGATCTGGAAGCAAGATAACATTTCAGTTTAAGCAGAGACAAAACAATCTCATTTGATACTACACTCATGTCGATCTCTGGGGGTGCAGATGCTGGAAATCAAAGGCCATACTGAGGCATTGGCTCCTCCCCAAATCCCTCTTGCCCCAAGGACCTCCTGTGTGCCGTTCAGAGTCTGCTCCTCTTCTCCCTGAAGTCTCTCGTTCAGTCAGGAGACTCATTTCTCTCTTCATAGGAAGCATCACAGGGCTGCCTTTCAGAGGACCACCAAACCTGATTGGAGCTGGAGGTACAGAGATGCAGCCTTATCCAATCTCCAGCATCAGCAGGTGAGTTCTGTTTATGTCTAAACTCTTAATTCAAACTCTTCCTTCTCCTCTATTCACCATTATTGTCCCTTCCCAGAACCTCCTCCAAGCCTGGCTTCTTCATGGTTGCACCAAGGCTACTCTTTGTGACTCTACTCCTTAATAAATGACCATTTATTAAGCCCCTACTATGTGCTAGGCACTGAACTGAGTGCTGGCAATACACAAAGAAAGGGAAAAGACAGTTCCTTCTCTAGAGGGGCTCATAATCTAATGAGAGAGACAACATGCAAACAGCTATGTACAAACAAGATCTGCACAGGATAAATTGGAAATAGCCAACAGAAGGATAAGGAAAGACTTCTGGGAGAATGTAAGATTTTAGCTGAGACTTGAAAGAAGGCAGGAAGCAGAGATGAGGAGGAAGAGCCTTTCATAGGAGTTTCACCTCAGTTCAGCAAACATATATTAAGTGCCTATTAGATGTAAGGCAGCATGTTAGGTATCAAGAATACAAAGACAAACCGAACAGTCTCTGTCCACAAGGAGCTTACATTCAAGTAGGGGTGGGAGTAGAATACAACCTATACACAAATAATTAGATACAAGATTATATGAGGCAAATGCTAGCACATGACAGACACGAAGAGTAGTTATCTCCTTCTCTTACCCAGGCGTACAAACATACCCCTCTCCACTGCTCATGAGAAGTTTCATCTTCTTTCAACAAACTCTTTCTACCCTGTCCCCTTCCATTTCTCATTTGTCTATGGTGCCCTTTATTCTTTCATGACTGTCATCCAAAGATGTTCATTTACGGCCTCTCTTCCAGAATCAGTCCATTCTTTTACTCCTTCTCTTCATACATGTTCCAGGAATTAGAGCATCTCCCTCTAAAAGGAGAAAGACAAAGTGATGATCACTTTGACAATTCTAGCTCAGGGATTCTTGATGTTTTCATGTTTTCTTTCCCTCGTGAGTATCCTAGAAGATGAGGGGTTTGGGTAATGAAGGTGGTTCCATATGCTGACTGTGAAGTCCCAAAGAGGGTTTCAATGTCCAGAGGACAGCAATCAGAATGGAGAAGGGCATGAAGATTGTGACATTTGAAGATCCATCAAAGAAACTAGACATGGTTAGCTAACAGAAGACTCGGGTTTTGTGGGGGAAAAGTGAAAACATTTACAAACTTTAAAGAGCTGTTACGTGGAATTATACTCATTCTGCTTGCTTGTAGAGGTAGACCTAGGAGCGATGAGTGAAAGCTACAGAGAAGCAAATTCTGGCTTGATGTCAAGAAAAATTTCCTAATGATTAGAACTCTCCAAGAATGAAATAGGTTGTCCTGGGAAGCAGTGGTTTCCCCTTCCCTAGTAGTCTTTAGTCAAAGGCTGAGTGTTGTTGAATTTGTTGTACAGGGGATTCTTGGTCAGTCATGAGATGTCCTCTCAGGGCCACTACAATGCTGAGATTCTGTGACCCTACCCTAATCCCAGAAGGAGTCAGGGGTTAGGGAGAATGATGGCAGCAGCCAGCTTGAAGGTCTTCCAGCAAAGACTTTGAGATCTCCTGAGACAGTTCTATTTAGTGGTTAGAAACCTCTGATCTCAAGCCTTCTTATTTGGGGGGTAGGGTGGGGAGAAAGGATATGTAGGGCAGCTCTAGTTGTGGAAAGGAAGAGTGGGGATGTTGATCTTTAAGCTCTTATAGAGGCAGCTGAAAAACAAAGATAGGGGATTCTTAGAAACTTAGGAAGATGCCTCAAGAAGACCTCTAGTCCAACATTCTTCCCTCATTCCCAGCCACATTGATATATATGGCACTTTTGGGTTTGCAAAGTATTTTACAAATATTATCTCAATGGATTCTCACAACAATCCTGTGAGGTTGGTGATATTATTACCTCTTTTTTATGGATGGGGAAATGAGGCTGAGAACAATGATTTGCCCAGGGTCACAAAGCTAAGTTGAGAACTAGTCCTTTAAAAAAAAAATCACCCTTAAGAAGGAAAGTCCATTCCCCCATCGTCTTTCTACAGAGGCTTCAGTAAGTTTAATAGCAAGGCTAGTTTCAAGTCTTTGGTATTTAGGGGGTGATGGTATAGTCTATGGATTATCTGCATCCCTTACTGTTCCTCTTCTTCTGATAAGCTACATTCTCCCTGAATGTCAGTCTCATCATTGTGGGAATGGCTGATTACTGTCGTTCATTCTTCCTTTTCTAGGAGGAACAATGGAATCATGGGTGATGTCTTGAATTGAGTGAGAATTGGATTTAAGTGAGACAGCACTGCACAAAGTTATCACCCTCATTCTCTCTTCCAGAGCCATCAAAGTCCAGGGGCAAGACAAAAGTCAAGATGATTGGTGATGGCCTGGGATACAATGGATGACCTTGGCATCTTTGATGTCTGATCACTTCGTAGAATCTGGTTCAGCCACTTTCATGGTCATTGGAACAAATTGTTCTCATCTGTTCATTCCACCAGGGGATGTCTTCATATACCTGGGATGCACATCCCGTTAACACACCAATGGGTTTGAGGCCTGTTGGTTACCCTCAACCTAGTTTAGCCCATTTGCTGAGACAGTTTTACCTTACTGAGTGTGGCTACTGTGTATGCTATAGCTTCTTGGAGCCCCAGGTGAGAGTTGAATTCCAGGTGTATAGCAAAGGTGGATAAACAGCCCTGATAAGGGCGTGGCAAGACCTCACACCAGCACTTCCAACCTCTCCCAAGTTGGTGGTTGGCAGAATTCTTCTACCATCGAGGCTGACTCCAAAGTCTTATTATATTAAAAGGGGAAGATGTGTACAGATAGGAAGGGAAGAGTCATTCACAAGGGTCAAATGAAATAACCTATACGAAAACCCATTGAAATGTATAAAGGATACTTGCTTCCATGTTGTTTCTCTCATTAGACTGTGAGCTCCTTAAGAGCAGGGACTGTCTTTTGCCTATTTTTGTATCCTCAGCACTTAGCATAGTGCCTGGCACATGGTATGCCCTTAATAAATACCTACTGAATTGAAATATAAAAGCACAATGAAAAGTATAAAATGATATATTTGCTTGCATGTTGTCTCCCACTTTAAATCATAAGCTACTTGAGCTCAGGGATTATTTTTTGCCTCTTCTTGTATCTCCAGTGCTTAACATAATGTATGGTACACAGTAGGTGCTTAATAAATGTTTATTGATTGATTGGTAATAGCTAGCATTTAAACAGAACTCTAAAATTTGCATGGTGCTTTACAAATATTATTTCATTTTGTCCTCACAACAACTCTGGTAGGTAGGTGCTATCATTAACCTCGTTTTACTCATGAGGAAACAGACTTGGGGACATTTAGTGACTTGCCCAACTAGTAATGACTGGTAAGTGTCTGAGGCTGAATTTAAACTCAGGTGTTCTGGCTCCAGAAACGGTGCTCTCTCCACTGCGCCACCTAGCTGCCCCTGTAGAAGCTGCACGACTTATTCAGTACTGGAAAGAGTCCTGTCCTGAGAATCAGAACCACAGTTCTAACTGTAGGCCACTCACTTAATTGTGCAATCTCAGAGTTGGAAAGTACATCAAAAACCATCTAGTCCAACCTATACAATCTAGTAACCTGTAATCTCCCTGAGGGCAGGGGGCCTTGACTCTCTACATTTTAATAATTTCAATGCCTACTGCAGTATGTTGTGCACAGTAAGTACTAAATTCAGTAGGAGTTTATTTGTTGAATAAATGAATGAATTTAATTCCTCTGGGCCTCAGTTTCCTTATCTATAAAATGGGGAGCTTGGGTTGCCTGAGGCTCTAGCATTCTGTGATTGGGTCTATAAACAGAATCGCCTAGCAGGGAACTTAAAACTTCCTCTGGTGCCTAGCACAGTGCCTGGTGCATAACAGGCACCCAGTAAATATTTATCAAATGAATCTGTTGAAAGAATCATGCAATTTTGCCCAAGGCCAGCCCTCTCTATCACCGCTGGTTAGTACCTCTATCAAAGGGGAAAGCAAGGTGAGCTCAGATCCATCCATTTAGTCTCTTGTTAACAGTTCTGGTAAAAGGTTGTGTGGGGAGGAGGTTGGAGCTCTTGGCTAAAATTAGACTTCTGGATTCTTCATGCTTTCCATGTCCCCCATTAGGAAGGATAATTGACAGTGGGCCAGAGTTTAAAGGAGTTAGAATTACGGTTCTTCCTCCCGACTTGTGCACCGTGTTCCTTTAACACCTACACCCAGGGTGCATTTCTAAATCCTGGGACCTGAGAGGGAAAGTCTCCTTATCCTCTGTTAATAAACGGAGATTTCCTTGAAGAAAACCTCTTCCTTATTTTATATGAAACCTTTTCTCCATTCCCTCTACAAATCTACCTCCTTTTCCTTGTCTTTCCCTTCTTCCCCTTCCTCTGTCCTCTCTTTGCCCACTTTGCTGCTTTCTGCAACTCTCTCTTACTTTTCTTGTAGTACTTTATTTTTTCCAATTATATGTAAAGATACTTTAAAACATTCATTTTGGCAAAATTTTGATTACCAAATTTTTTCCCCTCCCTTTTCTTCTTCCTTTTGATATAGGTTATATATATGCAATCATATAAAACATATTTCCTTATTCACCATGTTGTGAAAGAAGAAATAGACCAAAGAAAACACACACACACACACACACACACAAATAAAAAGTGAAAATAGTATGCTTCAATTTCCATACGAAGTCCATCAGTTCTTTCTCTGGATGTGGATAGCGTTTTCCTTCATGGTGACTCTCTCTTTTGATGGTTTTTTTCAGCTCTTTCCTCCTTGTCCCCTGATGAGCCTAGTTCCCAGCATTGCCTGGAGATGACCAGGCCTTTCTTGGGCCTGCTGTAGAAAAGACATCAGAACAAACTTTAGACCAAAAAAGTCTGGAAACACTTCATCACTGGAAGGTTGGAGCTATTTATGGTGCTGATGGATACCTCTCTGGGGCCTTCTCTCTGACACGGGAAGGGAAACCATGTCTCAATGTCCCTAGGGAAGCCACAGGGTGCTAGGCTTTTAGGAAACTCTGACTATTCCTTTTCCAGTGTAATAGCGCTATTTCTGAGCTGATGAGATGTCTTTGAATTGACAAGACACCCCTGAGCTCAAAACTTCGAGGTTAATGATCCTGATGTGGAAAGGGAACAGTCTCAGGAATAATAATAAGCATTTGGATAGTATTTATTTTATTTTTGGAGGCAACTGGGGTTAAGTGACTTGCCCAGGGTCACACAGCTAGTGAGTGTCTGAGGCCAGACGTGAACTCAGATCCTCCTGACTCCAGGGCCAGTGCTCTATCCACTGTGCCACCTAGCTGCCGCAATAGTGTTTAAAGGGTTGCAAGGCACTTTGCAAATATCTCATTTTGCCTTCACAACAACCTTGGAAGATTCCCATTTTTCAGATGAGGAAACTGAGACAGGTGTTAAGTGACTTGGCCAGAGTTGCCCAGCTATCAATTTTATGAAGTTGGATTTGAACTCATGTTTTCCTGATTCCAGGACTGGTGTGGTTGGGAACCAGATTTGGAGCTCTTACATCCACATGCCCCAGTTTTTAGCCAATGGACCCAACTTTGAATGTAAGAAAGGGGAATGTGAGGGCCTGTTGCTGTCAGGTGGAGGGGAGGGTTAATGCCACAGCAGAATCTGTACGTCCTAGTGAGAGCCTCCAGGTTGGATGTCAGGAGATCTGGGCTTGGGTCTAGGACCCGACACTGGCTAGCTGTGTGGGCATTAGCAATCACTTAGACTCTCCAGATCCCAGATTCCTCATGTGCGATACCTTTACCAATATGGCTATGAGTAGAGAGTGCATGTGAGTACACCCAGGACAGTACCATGGTTGACAGGAAGACAAGAACTAGAGCAATGGAGGTCATCAGAAGGGTTAATTTTCTCCTGTCTTGGCCAGGAAACTTCTGGATAGGGTTAGAAAAAGCTAAATACCGTGAAGCAGCATGCTGTAGGGGAAAGAAAGAACATAGGTTTGCAGTTGGAAAACATGAGTTCAAATCTTAACTGTTATTGCCTGCGTGCCCCTGTGGAAAATCACTCCACCTCTCTGGACCTCGCTTTCCTTAACTGTAAAATGAGTGAATTGAATTAGATAATTTCTAAAGTCCTTTTCCTCTCTAGATCCTAGGGTCTTATAACGGCATTTTGGACTTAGGGTAAGCTGTGGGTGAAAAGTCCTTTGTTTCCTCTATGTTGCTCGATCTTCAACATTCTTCCTTGTTCCCTATACTCTTCCACCTCCTAAGATAACTCACTCCTCCTCCTTTCTCTCTCTTCTGTCTCTCTCAATCTCTCTGTCCTCTCTCAATCCCTTGTCTCTGTGTCTTTCTCAATAGCTCTCTCTCACATGTATGCACACATAGACATAGACACAGACATGGACACAGACACAGAGACACACACACACACACACACACACACACACATATTTATCCCAAAGGGATTAGCCATTACTTTAGAGCAAAGAACTGAGGACATCACATTGTGTTCATCCCTGCTCCGCCCAGAGACTTATATGCGGAATATCAAATTAAAATAAAGATTTGGGGCAGTCTTAAAAGGGAGAGTCACAAAAGAGCAACCCAAAGGGTGTGTGTGAAACAAGAAAATGAGGGACTTTGCCTTCTTGGCGATTGTATAACAGGACTGGCCAGAACTATGTGTGTGTGTGTGTGTTACATGCATAAATGTACAATGTACATCCTACACAATACATCAATACAGATAATATGCCTACATGTATGTTATATGTATATGTACATATATACATAACAAGGGTGATGAGCATAATGGGCAGCAATGAAACTAGATATATGTACTTTGACTCCTAAGGAAGATATGCTCTGGTCCTCTGCTAAAGGACTTACACTTGAAGATCCTGCCTATTTTAGCACTGTGTGATCATCGAGTCAGCTGTTCCCTGACCAGCCTAAACCAGGGGCCTTATTCTCCACCATTTTCCTCTTTGAGTCACTTGGCAGCCTCTTCCTGATACTATCCTGCTCTTCTTCACCCATTTTTCTCGTTTCTTAATTCTGGCTCATCTCTAGTACTATAAAGCTGAGGTGATTGAGAGGTTCCGGGGGCAGCTTGGGTCCTTCCTCAGGTCTGCTTTTGGGGAATATTGGTGAGTGGTCAGATATTAGGGTCTGAATCAATCTCCCTCCACCCCATATCCCCACCTGCTTGAAAAAGCCAGTTTTAGCCCCTAATTCAACCTGATGTTGCTGATATTACCCAGATGAGGCATTCTGTGGGGTTGCTTTGAATTAGTCAGTCTCTCTTCTTCCCTTACCCCATAAGTCTGTCCTGACTCAGCTCTAGACTGGAACTCAGATGATCTCAGGGGTGGAGAGCTGGAAAGGTCCCCAAAGTCAGAGCTACGACTAGGGTAGGACCACTGGGGATTTCCCCCCAAGATTCCAAATTTAGAGAGAGGGTGCTGACCATACTTGTGGTCCTAATCCTTCAGGAACACAGAAACATCTACACTTAGCACCTTGTTCGCAAGAGCAATCAGGTAAAGTTGGAAACTACAGGTGATCAGATAGAGAGATAAAGCATTTATTCAATGCTTACTATTTGTCAGGTACTATGGCAAGCAAGATGATCCTTCCTCTCAAGGAATCCTTCCTCTCACTCTAATGTGGGAAGAGAACATGGCGAAGGGGAGCTCTGAAGGGAGGATGGGGTGAAAGAACAAGGTGAAAAATAGACTAAGAAGATGTCCAAAGAGTGGAGTTGGGAGTGGAAGGGAGCATTGTTGTGGCCCCTCCTGAAATGATGGTCAGAGCAGGCAGTCGATAATCAGGAAATGGGGGGAGGAGAACTGCAGCAGAAATTTATCCAATGTGATGAGTTGGTTGATAAGGAGGTAAAAAAAAAAAAGGCCAGAGAATTGAGTTGGGAGTGAAGAGGCAATGATGGTCTGGAATGAGCTCCAGCCCTTAATCTCCTATGCTTCGTATACTATATCTGCTCCTCCTTCCCCACCCCAGCAGCAGCCTCATGCTGATGCTCCAGAAGGTGCCCTGCCACTTCCTTCATCTCAGGGTGCATTTTGAACCACTAACCCTGGGTGCAGCCCTGCTCGAAGCCCTGACAGCTCCCCAGAAGAGCTGGGGAAGAGGTGAGGTGAGAGAACCAGAAAGGGGGAAATGACTGAGCCGGAGGCCTCCAATATTCCTGCACTGCAGCTACTTGGGAGGCAAAGGCGACAGCTTCTCCAAGAGGGTCACGGGTCAGGGGCCGGCAGGGTTCCAAGGATCCTGAGAAAATGTGCATCTGGAGGAAAGCAGCTGGAAGGAAACCGAGAGAGTGACAGAGAGAAGGGCAGCCAGGGAGTCAGGTTTAGCCCACAGCTGGGGCTGGGGGTGGGAGATAGGCTTCTCAGAAGAAGTCCTAGGCTTCTCAGACACCAGCTTCTCACAATAAGCCCCGGGTCCAAGGAGCCCAGTGTGGGACTGGAACGAGTGTGCAGATACCCAGGCAACCTGTACAGGAGCACGAAGATGGGAGATGCTTGAGGAGAATGTAACAATCCTCTTCAAAGTGCTTTGCCATCTGTTATCCATCTGAGCTTCACAATGCCCTGATGACAAATGACATTTCCATAGCACGGTACATTTTTCAAAGCACTTTACGTATATTATTTCACTGGAGTCTCACACCAGTCTTGTGAACTGAAAGCTACTATACTTATTGTTACTCTCCTTCCACAGACAAAAAGACTGACAACCAGTATCAGATGAAATATTTTTTAAAATTTTTCATTTTTTTCAATGAATAAAAATCTATTTCTCTCCTTCTTACATCTCTTCACTCTGCCTTCTCATTGGAAAAAGAAAAGAAAAACAAAGCCCTTATTCCAAATATGCAGAGTCAATTAAAAAAAATTCTCGTGTTGGCCGTGTCCAAAACTGTTCCATTCTGCACTCTGAGTCCATCCCCTTTCGATTAGGAATAGTAAGCTTCATCACTGGTTGTCTGGAGCAGTACCTGGTCAGAGTTCTTAAGTCTTTCAAAGTTGTTTGGTTTTACAGTTTATTGTATAAACTGTTGTCTTGTTTCTAATTGCTTCCCTCTACGTCCCATGCAGTATTTGAATCTAGGTCCCCCTGACTCCAAGTTCATCACTTTAACCACTGAATTGTCCTGCCTTCTCTCTGTGATGTACAAGAGGCAGTGTGCTATGGAGAGGGGGACAGGTATGGGCCTTAGAGTCAGAAGGCCTGATCCTAAGCCCCAGCTCTGTCACTTCCTAGCTGTATGACCTTGAGCAGGTTACCCAATTTCTCTGGGCTTCCTCCTCTCTAGCTGCTATAAAATGAGAGGGTTGGTCATCTGACCTCTAAGCTCCCATTAGGTTCTGAAATTCTGAGTCTACACATCAACCCAGAGTGGAGATATTAGTATCCACATTTTACAGATGGGGAAACTGAGGCCTACAAGGTGTCAGGAATTTCCTGACATCCTATATACTGTGAGTAGCAAACCAATCTCAGGCTAGAATTATTTTCCCTCTCTGGGCCTCATTTTCCTCTTTTATAAAATGAGGGGGCAAACTAGAGAATTTTTAAAGTCTCTTCTAACCCAAACATTATTATTTAATGATTCTGATCCTGACTTCCCAAGTCCAAGCTCAGTTCTCTTTCTACCATATTGTGCTTCTACCAATGGTCTGATTCCATACATTTGGGGGGAGGTATGGACCAGGGGTGGAGAACCTGCAGCCTTAATAAAAGGATTTGTTCTGTAAAACTTGGCCTCAGTCAAAGGGCTGCACTTGAGGACCTAAAGGGCCACATGCACGGCATGGTTCCCCAC